GTGAGTTTTAAAGTTTTTTGAGATGCATATTTGTTCCGGACTCTGATCAGAGGCTTGGTGGCAATGTCACTTAAAATTCAGTTAAAATAAGAGATGGCAACGAGTCAACGACATCGTTTTGATTGTCAAACGAGTAACTATATCAACACATGTGACTTAACTGAATTATTCACAGGGATAAAAAAGTCACGCGAAGTTATATTATATAGTATAATAAAAATAAAGGAACACACTTGAAATATCCCGCTTTCTAACTTATCATATCCGAAACTTAAACATAAGGATTTTTGTTGAATTTAGTTTGTGTTCATCAAATCTGAGTGAGAAAATCACGGATTAGTTCTCAAGCAAAGAAGAGCTTTATAAACTCCGCGTACTTTAAATTTGCTTGACTCGAATAGCATGGGAAATGAAGAGCTGTTGTGCGGGGTGATGGCTACCTGCAAGCTAATGACCTAGCAAGTTTCGGCATTAAGGGACATTTGGACAACCTATAGAAAAATGTGACTGAAGTTCGGCATTGCAGTTTGCTCGAGAAACGTTGATTTTCGGGAAACCCTGATTTTCTTGGCATAATAATCGTATCTCGAAATTTCAGAATTTCTGCTTCAAAAGAATGATAATTCCGAGGAAAAAGTTTGCCCTCCAAGAATTGTAAGCGTTGCTGGGAACTACCTCTTAATCACTGTCTTAATCACTGCTCACGGTCATGAAAAGGTACAGTTTAGATAAAGCACGAAGTATTCACAATATATTTGGTAAATCACGTCTGTTCAATTGCGTTGTGCCGTGTAGTACACCTAGGGGAACTTCAGCCTAAATTGCGGCGGAACGAAGAAGTCTAAATGAAAATGGAATAATCGTTGCTAAGAAATATGAATTAAATTTAAACTATTCCCTAACAGCATAGAAATTTTAAATTGTAGGTTGGTTTGCTGAAAGCGAAGTTCATGCAAGTTAGCTTAAAAAACTGAGGTAGCGATCACACTCAGCATGACCGTCGCGACTCAAGGCAGAGATAGTCAAACTTCGGCAAAAATTTGAAGCACAAATGGAATCCTACAGCTGTATGTGAGCTGAGACCAGCTGCGGGACGTCGAAAATGTTGTTTGGGGCCTCCTGAACCTCTCCTGAGAAAAAGTTCTACACTTTTCGATCAAGTTATAAAGTTTTTAACTAGCGTGTCAACTCTAGCATCTTTACATGGGTTTCAAACAGAAAAGTTGGACAGTAGATTGGAAAAGTGGCATCTGATTCGTGCAACTGGACATCGAAATTCTAAAATCTCAGCAGATTTTTTTTTTATAAAAAATTTCCAATATTTTTCTTTCTCCGTTTAAAACTATTGAATAGTTTACACTTTAGAAATTTCTTCATATAGCTCGAAATATTTTTGGATCAGCTCTTTGAGAAGGCTTTGGAGGAATTTTGAATTTGAAAATCCATCAATGAAGTCCAAATTTTTTCCCGGTATGAAAATTGCTATGGGGGGATTTTTGAACCACGGCATTGCCATTGAAATCGAGCTTAGGATATTGGCATTGACACTCGGACACAATGCTGATACCAAATAATGAATCATACAATGAAATAGTAATGCTCCATGCACGTTTGAATAATTATTCACTTAATATTGGAATATATATTTGCCTGCAAATGAGGGAACATGCCATGGGCTAGTGTTACATGCAAAACAGGTAAAATATTTTAAGTAAATACAGGTAATGCTTGAATTATTATCAGGTTCTCAATGCATGCTAGACTATCACAAATCATTATTCATTAATCCATCATTATTCTTGGCATTTTTCGAAAGCAGCCAAACAAGAAAGCTTCATTTTGAGTGGTCTCTCTGCACGCAAAATACTCTGTGTGTCATGAGCTGTAAACAAGCAAGCGCCCCACTTATTGCAGCTTTCCCTTTAACTCGAAACTAAGAACACTCGAGCTGAACATCTGCATTCTCTGCGCCATAAGAGACGGCTCTATAGCACACGTCAATTCTACTCTATGTGTTTATGCTCAACATTTATATGTTGCTCCATATCGTTGATCGACGGGTTTCAGTGAAAATCGAGGTTTTGAATGAAAATGAATGTGACAGGGCGTAGTGATGATGAGGTTTGAAATCTTATCAAAAGCTAGAAAGGGATTTCTTTCGTATGCCATTAGTTGGACTCGTCAGTACATGAAATGAACAATGCATTTGCCTGACATGGGCGCCTGACATCGACTGTTTTTCATGGCATGAGAAAAAATACTGCAGTTCAATTGTCGCGCAGTCAGTACAATTGTGACAGGCAGGACGCCGAAAGCTACACGAGTTTCTATGCAAAGTAGAAAATATTAGCTCTATTCTGTTTAACATTTAAATGTATTGTTACACGTCAAAATTGAATCAGATGTATTGAAGAACATCACTTCTGGCTTGAAAAATTAATGTCTAATTGACTCACTGATAACAGTTCTATTATTATATTGAATTCGTTAAAATTGCACTATCTGTCGTATATAGTGTTCTGAATAATTTCATCACTATTTTCTCTTTAGGGTGAGAAATACACTTACTAAGAAAACTATAACTCAGCAGTGCAAATAAAATATTATTCCAAAAATGTCGACATTGAGCAAGGTCATCTGGAGAGATTAAAATCGTTGACTGAATAGGAGTTTATTTCAAATTTCTTAATTAGGTTTTCAGTTTGTGATGGCCAGTATACAGTTACGGCTATAATTTGAAAGCTGTACCGAACAATTTCAATGCCTCTTTCATGAATGTTTTATTGATGGTTGCGACTTGACATTTCATGTCACAGTTAAATTCTGTTTTTCAATATTCAAGGATAGAATTTGGGCTGCGAGGAGGATTTCCGCTGTGGGAACGGACACAGATCTCCCAAATCCTCCCGAGATTACAGTTCCAAATTAAATCCAGCTCCTTAAAACGAAGGATTTGCTGAAACGCGAATCATTTGCAGTCAAGTGCATCGACGAGAATTTTTTGGGCAGATTAAAATAAAAGAATGCAGATCGCTTTTTGAAAGGCTTTTCTGCGACGGCATTGAAAGACATGAGGCTCAAGTTGCATTCTGGGATCAAGGATTCGGCTCTGATCGAATTGAGACCTCGGTGTTATCAGTTTCCACTGGTTTCAGTGGAAACCAGTGGAAACCAATTCTTTTCAGTGGAAACCAAAACCAATTGAGACCTCGGTGTGATCGCTCCACTGGTTTCTGAAGAAGCTATACGGAGGCAGAAAGAGTTGAAACATATAAAAATGTGTTTTAACTCGTATCTTTAGTGTCATTCATACGAAATCTTCAACGTAATTACAGAGGCTGGGTAGATAACGAAATATTTAAAATCGCGAACATTTTACTTCCAATTTAATCGAGTTAGTTTAGTTCTATCGACGTATCAATCGAGAGCGCATTATTTGATTATGATAAGAAGGTACAATGTTTGTGATGGTTTTATGCATCTTGCTGGTCGTGGTCATGCCAAAGCAAATAACAAAATTATTTTGCAAAGAAAAGGAATAAAATCATTTTGAAGGCTTCACAGATTAAGTAAGCTTTCTGTATTAATTCTATAGATGAATAATTAATTATAAAGAATAATTAAGAAACATGCAGCAGTTCAATCATCGAGTTCTATCGCAAGCTAAAGTTTCAATTATAATGACAATTTTTGGGGAATTTGAAACCATTCTTTCCGATCATGTTAGGTTTTATTACCTACAATTTATGCACTGTATCGAGTATAATCTAATGCGAGTTTCATGATACTTAACAAGATTTTGGAGCTTTTTGATTTAAAAGTAGTGGTTTTTTAATTTTCACTATCCACAGGAAAAATGAAAGTGCGTGCTGGTATTATTGCTTGAGCTTGGTAATTTGCTAGCTCAGCAACGCCCGCGTCTTAACTTCGACGCCGCGAGTTACTCGAGGCTCGGTCATCGTCGGCACAGCGCAACGACTGTCGGGAGACTGGAACAGCGGCGCCGCGGCAACTCTACGGAAACTGAAACCAGCATTTCACTTGACCGTTGACCTTCAACACGTTCGCGCTTTAAAGACCTTGATGGTTGATTTGTTACAAGCTTCAAGCTACAGGGGTTAGACAAATAAAGGAAAAACATAACATTTTGAGATCGTAATCATGAACATCAATAAATAACAAGAATAGTAAGATTTTATTGTTTATTATTGAAGCTAATTGATATTTTAATGCTTTTACACTCAAGCATTTTTAGAAAATTGGTGTGACTAAAAACTATAAAAATATAACTCAGTACTCACTGCAATGAGTGACAGAGAGCGCATTTTCTCGTCGACTAAAACGTGAAGTCACGGACAGACGGACGGACAGACAGACGGACATGACGAGCACAATAGCGCCTTTTTCCATAAATGAGAAAATGCGCTAAAAATGGCAAACCTCATTCAGTATCTGACTTTTAAGAAAGTGCTCGTATGTCAGGTGCTGGTCACTCACTAACATTCACAATTTGTATTAATTTAAATTACAGAGAATTAATGATGTAATTGCCACGAAAGGTGAAAAACTCCATGTTAAAATATATTTTGTAGATTCCGAGGTATTTCCATTATTTTGTCAATGTCCTGCATCTGTTGTGTTAAACTCTAACTTATTAACGAGGTTAGGCTTCATGGTTCACATGAGACTGTACGACTAATTTTATATCCATAGATATGGTTGATTAAAGATTCATGCATCGAACGGAAAAGTTTTGAATATATTTCAAATTACTATTTAAATATATCACCTAATATTTTAGAATTTACGGTTGGATAGAAAGAGGTTTCATAAATATGCATTATCAAGGAAACTTTATTAACTTCAGGCACGTGAAGGGATGGAAAATCGTTAAAGCTTGGTCTAATAGATCGCCATAATTTTTTTAATCAGAATTTTTGCTCAGTTTTAATTACAGTCGATGAATTCAAACAGGAATTTATCAATAGCAGAACATAAGCATGAATGTGCTGCATTTCCCATTCCAGGACCTGCGATGTCAACCGCAACTGTCTCACTCATTCATTCATCGCATGAAGGTCTTATGAGATTTGCAATCTGGTTTGCTTAAGACAAATCTTGTTCATGCGCGGGGTTTCAACGCATCACAAAAACCTTCAGCTCATCCTCCGCATTAGTTATCACGCGCGGCTGTATTGTTGAGCGATTTCTGGCTGGGAAATACTAGGTAATGCGAGTGTATAATCAAATTGTATTGCATACTCAATTTCATTACATTTATTCGCTGTTTAATAGTAAAAAACAGCTGATAAGACAATGAATTCAATTATGGTTTTATAAGACAATCAAAATGTAAACATTTATTAGTTTAAGGATGATCGTTAAAATTTCTCGAATCCTGGATACCTAAGCATTCCTATTGTGCTCCGTTTACATGCTGCGGTTGGTCTCCGAATTACCAGAGTGGCCGTCTGCTAGTATTCGTTCTACTAAATACTTCTCTGGATTACAGAAGAATGTTTAGCGTGGCTTTGGATCACAGAAGGAGACCCAACAAAATTAAGTCCGAGTGATGCTTAAGAGAACTGCGAATGAAATGAGTGGAGTCTTTGGCACGGGGTATTTTTTCGTCTACATCGCAGGGATTTACTGCATTGTTCTTCAAGCGGTGAATTGTAAAGCTATTCTAGAATTAACACCAAGCCTGAAACGTGCATCATCAGCAGAAGAAGGTCACTGGTATCAAGGAGACCTCGATATCCCAGGGAATGCGCAAGAATAACAAGAAATTCTCTATCGCTGGCGTAAATGGCCAAACGGAATTGTTTATTATCGACTGGATGATTCGTATAGAGCCTAATCAGTTGACGTCATCAAGTAGGCTATCCGTGAGTTCCATCAGAAGACATGTGTCCGGTTCCTTCCCGTGCGCGGAGTACATCCTTCCTTTGTGGACATTCGTGATGAAATGGGGTGCTCATCCCATGTAGGATACGATGGAAGAGTGCATGTTACGAGATTACATGAACCTGGCTGCGTGTAACACTCAGGAACAGTCATGCATGAACTCATGCACACGCTCGGATTCCACCACGAACACGCACGTGCAGACAGAGATTAGTATGTTGCTATAAACTGGACCAACATTATTCCTGGTCACGAACGGAACTTCGATAAGCTACCTAAAGCGTTGTCCGATGTTGTTTAGTTTGGCTTGCCATATGATTACGAGAGTGTAATGCATTACGCACCGTACGCCTTCGCTTAAGATCCGACCTGGCCAACTATAACGGCATTTAATGGCAATTCGAAGATGGGACAAAGAGTTAGATTAAGTCCCGTAGATGTGGCAAGGGTTAACCGCATGTACGGCTGCACAAAATACGATCTGGGAGACTCTTTGGAAGGAGCTCAACCGTTTTCCCTCGTAAAGAAAATTTGGAAAAAACTTAAACTTAAATTGGAAAGTGCTCTCTACGAGCTTGCTGTCTACAACAAAATGCACATCGGTAGTGCAATTATCGGACGCCTAAATATCGGGCGATGATAAATGAGCATAAAATCATAATGTTATTTACTTGGAGCATAATTACATTAATCATTATAGATGGCTGAATTTACGCTCCAGGACTTCCTTCGCGATGGACATGAAGAATCTGAATCGAAATAATTCAAAACCTGAAAGTTGGTGCCCACTCGCAAATGGGTTGAAGCTTTTCATGTTTCCCAGCTTTGAAAAATAGTGAGCCACTTAGTATATTTGTAGAAAAGAGTTTAGATATAAAATGTATTCCATTTTTACTTGCTTCACGTTTTGTATTAGGCATCTCATTTCCATCTATTTTTGGAAATAAAATATATTTTTGTTCGACACGAAATTTCTCGTTAAATTCATTTGCGCTTCTCAAAATAATGTACGAAATTCTTCGGGAAGATTGCACTGTTGTTTTTTGAAGAAACTCGCAAAGTTAAAAATGGTTTTTAATCGGAGGAATATATTTAAATAAATATTACGATGTACATGTACGTACATGTCTCCCAACTACAATACATGGCTGTCCATGCGTGCTAAGTTATCCCCAGTGACCAAATGTTTATAGGCGAGGAACAAACTCGTCACCGGGCAACTTCCATTGCATACCCGAGGTCAGACGTCTTCGGTAAAACTTTGATAGTATTTTTTGCCAACCATTAGTATCGAGTATCCGGTAAATGGTTAGCTATATCCTTGTGCCAAAAATATGCGTCAGGAACCTGCCGATGGCTCCTTCATGGGCTGAACCAAAAGCCTAATTTGCGAGACCAAGTTTTGCGCAAAGTTTGCGTCGGTTTGGCAAGTTTCCAGTCACCCACACAGGAGGGCTAGAGCGTGGTTCTGAGTAAGGCAGAACGCCTGACGTTTTGTGTGACCTCGTCGAAAAAATGTGGGAAAATGTAAAATGTTTTTTAAATATTTAATTTTCTAGAATGTTAAGAGATATATTTTTGTAAATGGTTTTAGGTGGGAACGTTTTTTGAGGAAGATGGATTTTCTCAGCTTCTGATAAATAAATATATAAATTTGAATGAGTATGATTCAATGTACTACGGATTAAAAGTCAAATAAAATTTTTATGTTTCGATACGCTTGAGCTTTCACAAAAAAAACGAAATCAGATTTTTTGAAACGATACTGACTTTGAAGAAGAAACATGCAAGTTTGTAGTCGGAAAATATGTAGATAATAAAGATGTACGTAAAAGATGTAATAACATCACAGAGGTTATTCGCGGGAGAATGCGTTCTGAAAAGCCGAGCGAGATGCATCGCCCTTGGTCGTTTATTGATAAGTAGTCGGTGCCGCAAGTAGAATGCAACTTCAAGATTCTCTATTGTGATCATGTTGGAAGCAAAATTTTTTATAGTAAATATTTTGGTTAGAAATTATTAGAATTGATGAGGTAATATTTCATGAAATGTTATGCATTTTTTAGTCAAATTGTATAATTTTGCAAAACGAGTAGAAAAAAGGATTACTATCCGTCTCTGATAAATTTGCGTAAAAATCTTATTCTTATTCTAGATCAATTTTTTAACGCTTGAAATTCAGCTAATGACTCGAGATGACAATGCCCAAATTTTTTCTGATCCAAAATTTATAATGAAATAGCTTCATTCGGCCCGCCATTTTATATTCAAAATAGACGCGATTTTCTCTGAAAGTGACGGTCAAGACTAATTGATTTATGATGCAGTGTAAATACTTACCTTCAACTGCCTCTAAGCATTTAGTCTTCTAAAGTGACAAATGTAATTGGAAGTTGATGTTCACAAATTTAATCATGTGTAATTGGTAGTAAACTATTAGATTTCCTACTTATTTATTGATATCGGTGCACGTATTGTGTTTCCAGATTTCAGATTCCAGATTTGTTTTTCAAATCTCGAAAGGATTTTAGTTTCTATTTTAGACGGTAAACAAAGATGTGACCCATTAACCTTATTTCCATTTCATTCATGTATAAAAAATTCTCAAATTATTGAATCATTAACCACGAAACAAAGCATTATATTGAAAACGTATCATTGAGCTTTATATTAATAAAGCATTGTATTATTAGCATTATATTGTTGAAGAGGAATTATTAATCCAGCTAATTTTCACGAAGCGTCACTCACGGTGCTGAGGTTACGACAAATTCGGCGCTCGTGAGGACTTACGCCAAACGACGGCAACCACGAGACTATACGGCCCCATCTCCTGATTACAGCCTCGTCTCTTCGCAATTAAAGCTAAATTAAAATGACAGCTTGCATGAATCTTGTGTCAGGAACACTAATTAAAGCAAACTACGGGAAGTAAAATCTCCATATTAATTGTATTGTTTGTATTTGTCTTGCTGCTTGTTGTTTGAAAGTTTTAAAAAGCCTAAGATAATTGACCAGTGAAGTTTTTTTGTCTATATATAAGCGATTAAGCATGTTTTTGAAAATCAAAAAATATTAGAAAAATTCTAATAAAAATTAGATTGTGAAGTATTATTACCGTATTTAATTCGGAATACAATATTTAGAATAAAAATTACCAAGTATCGTAGGCTCGATGCATGAACAAATGTTTGATTAAACCTTTGGAAAATATTATTTGTTTTGAAAGATAATGAGCTCTTGATGGTCTCCTTCATCTGCATTACAATTTAAATTAAATTTGAAACATTTTCTTTCAATATAAATAAATTTTTTAGACTCCCACACTACGGGAATCCTTTAAAAGTCTCGCAGTTTTCGTTCAAGGAAAACCTAGAAGTGTTTTTGCTAGTGTACCGATCCGAGAGAGGACGAATTTATCAGACAGGAGCGCAGAAAAGATCGAATTTCGAGTCATTCTTCCACCGGAATTAATTGCTGAGGTCGACAGGAAGCAAGCAAAGCCGATGCAGGCGCATTTCTTGTCGTTCTGCTCGAGGGAGGAAACGCTGGAAGCAGTGAGCAAAGAAATTTTTATTTATATTTGCATTTCCAATAAATATTAAAGGTTTGATTTTAATAACACCTTCGCTGCGTGAATTGGTTTCAATAAGTATGCAGATAAAAGGCATTTACATAGGAGCCTCAAATGATAATTTAAAGCTTGCAGATATTAAATAGATCACTCAATTTCTGAAGAATGACCTCAAAAATTTAAGAACAATTGTGTTCATGGAGTCTAAACATCTCTGTCTATGTAAGTCTTTCCTTTTAGGCACTGCCACACGGTTTAATGGTTGAAGGTATCAAAGTACCAGTCTGTACATGTACCCCATTTGGGCCAGCGGACCAGTAGCGCCCGACGTTGAAGCCGTTGACGAAGACGACGCCCTTGTTCCACTGGCGCATGTCCAGGAACGTGTCCAGCGAGGGAGCTGAGAGCGTCACTGTGGTGCGGTACATCGCTGGCCCGTTGAGACGGTCATCCTTTCTTAAATATTATCTAAGACTATTATTAAAGTTACCTAATAATCTGCTACAATGATCAAAACTGTATATACACTTTTCACTTACTTTCTTCCAAGCATATTCAATGAATTTTGGCTCATACCCCAAATGTTAAACTGTTCTCTAGTTAACTCAGCCTAGCACCGGCAGAGTAAATCTTCTCAACCGTAACGTCAACGCGATCCTCTTCCCTGGGGCAAGCAAGAGACGTTTTTTGTATTTAGGAAGGAGACCCGGAGATATATAAAGAACAAGACCGTCTTCAAGTTGCTGCAGTTTGTGTAATGGTACGACCGTGACCCGGACTGGCTACCGACAGTATCAAGCGCGTGTTTTCCGAGGTCACATAGGCTTCAAGGTCACACAAATCGTGCCTCTGAGTGCCTTCATGGTTATTCCCTGGGATACAAGTCGAGCGAGCCTGCATCGAGCCGGGGGATCGAAAACTTCGAGCAACGAAAACAAGGCTCGAGATCTTGAGCTGGATGATGACGGAAGCAAATAGTGATCAGCGGGCAATCGTGTCTGCTGTTTGCCAACGAGAATCATTCCAAACACGAAGACAGTAACTTCATTTGAGATCAGATAATCTAACATCGAAGAAATAAATCATTTTTGAAAATCAAAATTTAATATTGGAGATTATGACATGGAAACACGGCTCTTTTTCTATGAAATATTCCTTAAGCCTGCTTCATCGTCAGCTTAAAATTCGATGTAAAGATTAAATTAATAGGCGCGAAGTTCATATGGTCAAGATTGGAACCAACACTGGCTATAGAAGTAACAGCAACTGAGAAAATCTGATTGTAAACGATTTCAATTGGATGAGAATTAAAACAAAATTTTAATAATGGTTCATTTATAAACTGATAATGGAGCTAAGCTCTGAAACATTTTTATTGAAATGACAGTGAATTTTCTTGACGTTTTTTTTACAATAGAAATCTTAGTGAATTCGTAATGTGAGCAAACGTTTCATCCTAATATTTTTTCGTTTGTGCTTTGTTTGAATTTTGATGCAACAAAATATTCTGCTATATATTAAACTTAAATCCTGTGCACCCTATGGGGCTAAAAATGCAGTGGCGGCAAAATACTCGAAGATATTCTTTAAAATTTGATTATAGCTCGAGGCTCGATGGTAGTTCTCTCATGTTTGCTTGGAACAAAATTGTCAAAGCGCAATGAAGGGAATTTCCTTAGCACAACAAAATGATTCATATCATGGTGATTTTCCAGGAGGCACCGAATTAAGGTTGATTATATTCCATTGATTTGATAGTAAGCGAAGGGATGAAGGGAAGAAAATACTACTAGAAATGTTTAGGTCTCAAGATAATGCGAGGAATCACTGGACCAAAATATTCCAAGAAACATCAATATGGAGCACGAGTTTCTTCGAATCATCAAGGGAAAGAGAATTTATTTGAAACATCTATGGAGCAACATACTCTTAGAAGCATCTATGGAGTAAAGTACTCCCAGAAACATCTATGGAGCAAGATACTCCCAGAAACATCTATGGAGCAAGATACTCTGCAAGATACTCCCAGAAACATCTATGGAGTAAGATACTCCCAGAAACATCTATGGAGAAAGATACTCCCAGAAGCATCTGTGGAGCAAGATACTTTCAAAAACATCTATGGAGCAAGATACTCCCAGAAACATCTACGGAGCAAGATACTCCCAGAAACATCTATGGAGCAAGATACCCCCAGAAATATCTATGGAGCAAGCTACTCCCAGAAGCATCTATGGAGAAAGATACTTGCAAAAGCTTCTATGAAGCAAGATACTTTCAAAAACATCTATGGAGCAAGCTACTCCCAGAAACATCTATAGAGCAAGCTACTCCCAGA